ATATAAATAATAAATAATATATTATAATTAAACCTATCAAAATCCTCTAGAATTTATAAACGCGTGAGAAAATTAAAATTGAAAATAGGAATGAAATTTCGACTCGGATAACGGGAACGGTCGATGCTTCCAGACGAATCTATGCTGTCACTGCCGCGGCGCCGATCAGACGTGCGGAACGTCGCGGAAAGCGTCGCTGCCGGCGAACAACGGTTCGACGGGACCCCTGTCACCGCCGCCGCCCCCGCCACCCCCGATTCCGGCGGCACCCGGTCCACAATCGAGTGGGAGCGGTTTCGTTCTGCCACCCCCGCCACCACCGCCGTTCTTCGTCAACGTCGTCAACGTCGCCGACGCGCCGATGGAGCCGCCGATGCCGCCACCCTTACGCGTGCTCCCTGTCGCGCGCGCGCTCACCCCCGAGCCACCCAGTACTCACGCCAGGCTGCTGCCGCAGCAGGAGATTCCCGTCCCCAGGACAAAGATGAAGACCATCAACTGGAACAAGATACCCAATCATAAGGTATTTAAACTGGGAAAAGAAAAGGGTGGAATAATACTTTCCCAAAGTCTCCTTTTTCTCGTCCCTTTATTGCATCGATTGTCGCAGGTGATCGGCAAACGGAACATTTGGTCCCTTGTGGCAAACGAGCATCAGAATTCGCCGATGGCGGACTTGGACTGGGCTGAAATGGAGGGCCTCTTCTGTCAACAAGTACCGCCATTGATGCCACCGGCGACCTGCTCATCCTCGTGCGGCACCGGCGTCGATGTCGAACGACGCCGTCGAGAACCGACGGAGGTTGCTCTTGCTATTTTCTTTCACGGTATAATATACTGAAATTCTCATGTATATTTATTTTCTTCATTGCAATTTCAGATTGCGTTACTCGACGGGAAAAGGAGCTTGAACGTCAACATCTTCCTCAAGCAATTCCGAAGGTACGACAAGGGGATAGTGAAAATATTACCACTATTATAATTTAAAAGATATTACTGTTTATATTTCCGGTTCTAGTTCGAACGAGGATATAATTCAGCTGATCAAGGAGGGCGGCCATGATGACATCGGCGCGGAAAAACTGCGTGGACTTTTGAAGATACTGCCGGAAGTGGACGAGCTCGAGATGCTCAAGAGCTTCGATGGCGACAAGTCGAAGCTGGGTAATGCCGAGAAGTTCTTCCTGCAGCTTATTCAAGTGCCAAAGTAATATAGCTTGAAATTTTATTATCTAATAAACAAATAAATATGTAATTATAATTATAATTATAATTTATCTATATATATTCCACACATAATGCGTTATAATTGATACGTAGTTATAAGTTGCGCATCGAGTGCATGCTGCTGAAGGAAGAATTCGCCGCGAATATGAGCTACCTGGAGCCAAGCATCAATTCGATGATCCTCGCAGGCGAGGATCTCATGACAAACAAGCCACTGCAGGAGGTGCTGTACATGGTTTTGGTCGCTGGAAATTTCCTCAACTCTGTATGTATTTACTCTCGCCGATAAAAACGAATAAATTCCCGGACAATGTTTACGGATATATATCCAATTTTATTATATTCCTATATATTTGCAGGGCGGTTACGCTGGCAATGCGGCAGGCGTAAAGCTTTCCTCGTTGCAAAAGCTAACGGAAATTCGTGCGAACAAGCCGGGGATGAATCTGATACATTACGTAGCATTGGTAAAATGCAGATTAATTTTTTTTTGGTTATGTATATACAATATGTCATTTCATTCAAGATTACATATTACTTTAGCAAGCCGAGAGAAAACGGAAGGATCTGCTAAGTTTCACAAAAAACATGACTGCCTTAGAAGCGGCGACGAAGTAAGGAATTATTTAATTATTATATATAATGATTATGTGTGCAGAGAAAGAAAACTATTAATCTTGCAATAAATAATTTTTTATACAAGAACGACAATCGAACAACTTGCCAATGAATTTAACACTTTGGACACGAAGATTAAAAAGATCAAAGGTCAAATTCAGCTCTCATCGACCGAAAGAGATATACAGGAACAAATGGCACAGTTTCTTCAGGTAAGAAATATAATAAATCTAAATAAATATCGTGGTACATGGGATAAAAAAAGAATAAAATAATTAAAATGCATGTGAATAAAATTTTTCTTTCGCAGATGGCCGAGCAAGAAATGGCGCAGTTGAAGAGGGACATGGAGGAACTCGAGGGAGTAAGACGATCGCTCGCGGAATTCTTTTGCGAGGACACGAGCGCGTTCAAGATCGAGGAGTGCTTTAAGATATTCCATCAATTTTGCCAAAAGTTCAATCAGGCGATCGCGGAGAACGAGAGGCGGCGGATTCAAGAGGAGCAGGTCCTGGCGCGTCGCAAGCAACGCGAGGAACAGCTGTTGGCGAGAAAACGACTGCGTGAGTGTATCTCGCGCAAAAAGCGCGCACGAGCGTTGTTTTTAGGTTTTAAGAGCCGTGATTTTTTTACACAAAGCGAAAAGAATACTTTTAAAGATTGATAAATATTTAGTTTATATTCTTCTCGCAACAGCGAGTTTATTTCTCTTTTTTTTTTCTTCTGTTCTTTTAATAAATGTGCGGGATTTGCGTTCGTTAAATGCGTAGTGAGCAATCAAGCGGAGACCCCAGGCTCGGAATCCGAGTCTAACTTGATGGACTATGGGCTATTCGATCTTCACACCGGTTTACCTCAGAGAAGTTACAGCCGCGGCGAGGCCAAGGTAAACTTTGCCATCTGCTTAGCATCTACTTAACAGTCTCTCGTTGTAATACGTAACGTGCTTGATAATGGCGCAAAATTAAATACGAATGAACGCTTTGGACAAGAGTAGAAACCGAAGTATAAAGGAAAGTGTATAAAGTGTTCTTCGATTTTGTATACATTTGAAATAAAAGATTTTCGACGTTTGCAGGTGAGAAGATTGCAGAATGGCGGCGTTACATCGGACGAGGATGTCTCCATCGTTGGATCACCCAACATCCGACGTCGTTTAGGATCCTGCTCAGGCGGTCCCGATCAACAATCTACCAAAGAGGACACGTACTCGCCAGGTATCATATCGCACGTGTTATAAAAAAAGCTGTAAAATTAAAAAAAACTTTTGCTAAACGATTATTAACTTTGTGGTTGATCGAGTTTTCAGGAATAAAAATCGAATCATGTGTTTTCTGTGCGTGTATATGTCCTTGTACACTCGACTATTATATTACTCTTGTTTCGTAATCAGCCGAAATATAATCGAAATGTGTACTCCACGAGATTCTTTCTTTTATTTGTCAGATATCACACCTAATGGCACGCTTCGTCGGCGCAGGAGCAGGATACCCTGCGAGGATGACGACGGGAATCTAATGGACTTTTTGCGAACGTCCGGACAGGACAATACGCGGGAGAGAAAATCGTGGGGAAGTTTAGGTATTTAATGCGCCAGTTGATACGCTATCGTATTATTTTTGACGTGACCAGAATTAAAAATTGGTTATTATTAATCATTATTATTTCTAAAAATATTTTTTATCGAAGATCGATCGTGGGCGCGAAGAGCTCGCGGACAATCGCGAAGAGGGGACCTTTTGAACGCCGATTTCTCGGGAGATCGGGAACGGCCGAGCTCGCCGTCTCCCCTCGCGGAGAGCAAGCCGTTCTTGCAGGAGGAGGAAGCGAAGCCGACCGGGTGAGTGTTTGGCCATTATTTGAAAAGCGATTATGTGGCTATTATTTTTATGTTTAAAAACTTGAAAAAAATAATAAGAATTCAATTCACTTATCGTGTGTGGAAATCAGGAAAGCCTGGCGACAGAAGATCGAGGCGTGGTTATCGGAGAACGAGAAGGAGGATCGTGCGGGCGAGCAGCTTCAGAGAAAAGCGAAGCAATTGCACCAGGCGAACCGACGGTCCTTCGAAGACTCGGGTAAGTGTGGATTTATTTTTCGTAATAATTGAAATAACTCGTTTGTAAGAAACTGGACGTTGTGGATCTGAATGCGAAACGTTCCGATTGTAGAAAGCGAAGGCAAAAGCGTGATGAACACTTCGACGGAAGATCGATCCGTGCACGAAGGAGGATTCTCTGAAGTATACGATTGGCGACCGTCCGTCGAGAAAACGGACGTAATGCGCACGATGGAGGCCATTGAAGGTGAATATTTTCGTGAATTATGTTAAAACTTGTCTAATTTTGTATGCTGTCAAGAATTAAATCTATTACACAATTTTATTATTATTTTTATCGAGATCAACAAGTTTATCAAGCGTATACTTTCGTTTCTTTCAGAAGCTCAACCGCTCTCGTCGCAGGACAAGTCTCCTTGGCGAAAGTCGAGCTTAAACGTACCAAGTAGTATGGAAGAAACTGATCCACGTTATTCCCGTAGACTTAGGTCGAGACACAATACGGAGAACGCTCTTGTCCCGAGTACACTGCAGGTGAGCGTAAATGCAATTCTTTGAAAAATATAATAATTATAATAATTGATGAGTAGATTAGGTATTCTTCATCTCAACAAAATTTTTGGCAACATTAAAGTTTCAAAGGATTAAATTGTATCACGCGATATGTTTACAGGCGATCAGAGAAGAGGACAGGAAGAAGAACAAGATCAGCGATACTCTGAATACAGACACCCAAGACGAGTTGACGATCTATCTTCGGCAACCTTACACCGGATCGCAAGCTCCTGCAACCCGGCGCTTCTCGAAGCTGGGCAAGAGAAGCGCAGATGAGGAACGAATCAGTGATAAGATCGAGATTGATTCGGATAATATCGAGACGCCACCGGCGACCAGGCGACTGTTTAGTCCTCCGAAGGAGGTGAAACCCGTGGAGAAGGAGCCATGCAAAAGAGAACGTTGCAACAGCTCCCTACAGAGTCGAGAAATGAAGTCTGCCATCATGAAACCCATCAGCGCGGATCTCGGTACCGGTAAGCGAGAAAAGAGAGAGAAAGAGAAAGAGAGAACGTGAGAAAAATAAAGAAAACAAGGTTTTTTACATTAAGAATATCTCCTATTGATGATAACCACTCGCAACTTTTCCAGGCAACTTTGACAGGTATTCAGCGACGCGACGTACCCGTAGATATAAGAAGACTCAGGATCCCGTAAGTGACAAGGATATGTCAAGTCCCGAGTTGGTCTGCGACGAGAAACCGGCGGTGCAGCGGCCCAGCACCCTCGCCCTGGCCGACGAGGGTACGCGTGAGGACGAGGATGCTATGCTGCGCATCTGGCAGGACAAGCTGAAGCGGCGCGACATCATTGCCTCGTCATCGTCACGCGACATCGACGCCGCGTTGGCGGAGATCGCGCGCTCCGGCGAGGATCTGCAGCGTCTATCGACGACGACGACGACGACGGAGACGACAACAACGACGACGAGCCACAGAAACTCGAGATTGCCGATCAGCCAGCCACCGCCAGTGGTGGCGGTGACCAACACCGTGTTGAGCCCGGTGATGCAAGAGTCGCGACCGCGCGAACCCGTCACTGTACTTATCGAACGAGCGGTAACGAGTCGCGAGCGTCATCGGAGTATGATTGATCCGAGTCAGGTGAAGGAGGCCGTTCGTTTGACCAGCAATCCGCCTAGCCAGGTAAACCAGGAGCAGGAAGCATCGAGCAGGAGCTTCCGAAGCGAGAGCTCGCTTCACGAGCGAGACGACGCGTCCAGAATCATGGAAGACGAGAAGCGCACAGGAGACCCGAGGAACGTCGCAGAAAACCTCGAGAAGGACATCCGATCCGCGAACGATCCTGGCGATCGATCGCTGATGACGCGACAGAACTCCATGTTCCGCAGTAGATTCATCCCCGATATAAACGTGACGTCGTCGCCACCGTCATCCGGCAAAGTCACCCGAGATCAGGAGCTGAACGACGAAGGTTTCGAAGAGACGCAGAGCCTCGTTTCGGAGACCCTGAGCCAGGAGACGTCCTCGGGCAATTACGAGACGGACACGCACGACTCGACGCGATGCTCACCAGCGGAGCTGAGCTACGGCGGAGAACAGCGCCGACGTAGCATCACGATGACGATGGACGACGACGACTTGCACGACCGCGGCAATAGAAGATCCTTGTCCGTCGACAAGTTATCGAAACCGACGTCGGGCAAGGTTTTCAGCAAGAAAGAGACCGCAAGAAATGCGTCGGAAAAATCAAGTTTCCTGCCAACACGTGCTGCGGGCGTGAAGCGTGAGTCCACGTTAAGGAAGACCGAGTCCCTGAAGAAGCCTTCGAACGTCGCTCTATCTTTGTCGGGTAATCCAGGAGCTCTGTCAAAAAACGAAGTGCAACGTTCCGGTTCCAGGAGCAGCCTGCGCAGCTCGCGAAGCTCCCTGAACAGCGCGACGTCCGTGAATACGGTACGTAATCTGGCCGCGAATCACGCGCATCTGCGTAACTACACCTCGGCCATCCGTGCGCTCACCAACGACCTGAGGAAGAGCAGCCCGTCGAGCAGTCCGCTACCGCCGAAGAACGTCGTCGATAAGAGACGGCCGAGTCCTCGTCAGGTTGGCGTCAGCAGGATACCCGCCAGCAGAAGCAGCAGCAGCGGCAGCAGCGTCGGACCGACAGCGAGAAGCCTTCGAAAGACAGCGGAGGTTGGTACTCGAGTTCGAATTTCAATAGTTTCTCAAAGAGTTTTTGAAAAAATATGTAGACCTTGGTAGACGGTTTTTGACCGAACAAGTATTTTTAAACTTTCTTTGGAATTACACTTTCACGTAACTTTTACACATCGATTGACAGATAACGCCTGACATACCAAAGGTCACGAGGGGTCGACCCATCACCTCGCGTAGCAGCAGCAGCGGTAGCAGCATCGGTCAACAATCGATCATAGGAAATCGATCTGCCAGTACGAGGAGTAAATTGATCCAACCGCGAACCGAGTCGAAGAGTCACAGCTTCATGCGACCTACAGCTGCCAGTGTCAACAAGGGTTCTATACAGAACCTTCCGAAGAGTATCAAGGCTATGGTCAAATGATGTCTCTCTTCGACGAGAAAATGAACCGTATCTGTAACATTGCCGAAAGAATTTAGAGAAAGTCTATTCGCTTAACAATTACAATTAGAAAAGTAACAAATCAAGCAGCGTTATATAAAATCAGCGAATGTTTGACAGCCAAACAGCTGATCGACGGTACCGTTAACGTTATTGTAGAATACGGAGCCCGCAGGATTAGATAATGAAGATTATTATTATTGTTCTCGCTTATATACTACGTCGTCACAGTGTTAAGTCAAAATAAATAAGATTATTATAGTTTATTACGCCACTACCACACCAAACAATGCAAGTTTCTCGATTCAAGAGAAAGATAATCAAATCTATTTCCAGCTTTATCACGCGCGACTTAAGTTTTTTTATGACCAAGGAAACTTTAAGGAACGCCCCGATCTTTATGTTTGACGCCAAATTGCGGGAGTTTTCCTTTTAGTACCCTAGAATATATTTATAAAATTATGTGTAACATATTCGCGACTAATGTAATACATATGATATATTGTAATTCTCTCTTATACACCGCGTTAACACAAAGATAAATATTATATATTGTAGAATATAATGTGTGTCCGACACAATAAATTAACAGACATTTACAATGGTGATATATAATACAATTGGAAATTTGATCGAAGAAATACACACAGGCAATGTTATTAAATATAAACTTACAATTAACTATACATATTTTAATATGAGAAAAAAAAGAAAAATAAGATTTGCCGAATAATTTTGCAAATACGTGTAATTCATATATATTTCTTTTTTATCCATTATATTTTCAACCAGAAATATCTACATATTTTATGTACAAGGATATAAATCAACGATCATTTTTAACAACGATCCATTTTCAAGTTGCATGAAAAACCGCGCGAAAAAACCGACAGAGATGTTTAATGAGATCACTCTCCAATAAGTATAATATAAATTTCGGCACCGACGCTTTTTAAAAAGCGTAATAATTCGAAAAAAACGAATTTTTTTCGATAGTCAACGGATTACGTTGCATATAAATCTTTCGTACGATAACGTAAATATAACATGTAGCCACAGCTAGTCAATCGGTGCGCGCAATCGATAGACAACATATCGGGATCGTCTTACTTTCATCGTAAACGAAAAATACGCGCGCGCAGCTCAGAGAAAAAAATAAATAACTATAAATTATATAATTAAATCTGCCGCTTTTTTTCTCTACGCCGTTGACAGAGTATAATATCGTAAATGGGCGTATGATCTATCTCGTGATTTTACGATGCGAGGTAACTCGGTCACCCCAACAGTTGATCTCGACAACTGTACGAAATGACACTCTGGTGAGCTTTGATAAAAACAATTCAAATAAATATCACATATTAAATCACATTAAATGAACATTACAGCGTATATATAATTTTTTATGCAACAAATACGAGATCAACATTTCTTTTTGTGTTTATGTATATATGTACAGTGACTATTTTATTAATTATTATTGTAGTTATCGTGGATAAAACTAAATGGGGTGACTAAGAAACCCGCGAGCACATTTGCATTCGCATTGCCGTCTCCCCCATCCCCATCTTTCTTTTTTTAAATTAATTTATAATTTTATTATTTCAATAATTTATATTACAAGGACGAAATAACGTTTTGCCCGACATGGCAAGAGTTTTGACTAAAAATTTCTTTTTATAATACATGATAAGAAAGAGAAAAAGAGTGACACACGATACGGGGCATAGCATGCAATATGCGTCAATGTCTTAAAAGGTAAGAAGATCCCGATTGTTTACACATACACATTTTCCTTGCAACTAAATATAAATATTATAACATTAAGTATATAAGAGTAACGACAAATACTCTTCCCACCTCCCTTCCCTCTCCCTCGATGGACGAACGGAGCTCCTTTTCAACGAATTAAAAAGAATCTTATAAATAATATATAAACATAAAATCTAACACTCGGAAATCAATCGATGAAAAAAACGAAGAGCGCCGACCCGGAAACCGAACGCGAAGGGAGCAAAGCACGTGCGAAGTTCCGCTCGATGACAATCGAACCAACCATTTGTTCATTCAATTAATATTCATTGTTCGATAAACATTCGCCGATGAAAAAGCGAATAGATTCGTTCAGGTCATCTCGGTCCTCGACATACGATCCCGGAATCCGAGGGATACAGGACTCTGCGGCGCCAGGATAAATTCAAACTGCAAGCCAAGCTCTTCCTCGACAACGATCTCGAATTCCCGAACGATCTGAATGAAAACCAATTAATCAACAAGATATAAAAGATTTGCTCCGATTCTTCTCTTTTGTATACTTCGATATACTTTTCCACACCTTTGCCAGAATAAGCTGCAGCGCGAGCTCCACGAAACGTTTTCCCGGACATATCCTTCTACCGGCGCCGAAGGGAGCTACCAATAAGGGCGAGTGAGGTGCCATAGGTTTCAACCATCTCTCCGGCAGGCACTTGGACGCGTCTTTGAAATTGTCGTCGCTCAATCCTGCTATCCACGTATGCAACAACACTACTGTCTGAAATCGACGAAAACAAATGTAATTGTACCAAGATATTTTCCCGAATTCGTACAGATAACGTTGAAACTTACTCCGGGATCGAGACGGTATCCTTCCAGTTCTATAGGCTCATCTAGTATGCGGGCTATGCAAGGCGTCGTGGGCATAATTCTGGAATGTACATAAATCACCTTGTATAATATAATATTTTCACAGCCGTATCAGCCTTATCGCAACATAAACGTGTATAAAAAGAGAGAGAAGAAATTTTCTTATAAAAATTTTTTTAACAATTTGATTAAATTATTATTAATTAATATAAAGAAACCTGAAGGATTCTGTGATGCAGGCGCGTAAATACTTCGCCGTTCGGAGATCATCCACCGTGAGATCGCAACCGGGAGGCGCCAGGGACTGCGCCTCGTTGTAAAGAGCTTCCTGCACTTCGGGATTACGGCCGATCAAGTTGAAAAGGAACACCAGCGTGTTACCTAGCTGCAAACGTCCAACGACTGTATCTTTAACCCTGTAGTAGTAATCGCGATTAACAATCCGAATGACGTAAAGTCAAAAAAAGAGACGGCTTAAAGACAATAAAAAAGACGGAAGGTCCGACAAAAATTTAGAATCGTCTTAAGAAAAGCGATCGCGATTCTCCTTTTTAGAGAGAAATAAATTATCTTCTAAATAAGTTACCTTAAATGTATAAAGTCTATATTGAATTTTTGTCTATAGACACAAATTATAATATCAAGTAGCCATAAAATCTGACAAACCCGTGCCAGCCAACTATCTATAATAAGTACTATATAAGAACTATATAAGTACAACGTGGTTTTCTCACTGTGTGTATCCCTGCCGCTATGAAATCCACTATGGCGGCCTTCTTATCTCTCATGTCGAGATCTTTCTGTCGCAAAATAGACAGGAATACCGCCTCGACGGATTCGTCTCTGGCGTCGTCTTGCTTCTCTAATACGGTCGCCTCCACGAGCTCCGAGATAATACTAAGCGAAAAAAAGAGTAGCGATTATTAATTTTAAACATTTTTCAAATTATCTGTGATATAACATGCATATTGTGAACAGAAAACAAATTTAATCTCTTTCATTTTTCTTTCCTCCCCTCTGTCGCAATTTACAGAGAAAACAAGATATTTCATTTTATTCTAGGTAAATCTCTTTGTTTTAATAAAACTGTATCCGAAGCAATTTAAAGTAATAAATTAATATTAAAATTAAAATTGGAATTAAAATTTATAAAAATAAAATAAGATAAATAATAGTTAAATTATTTAAAATTTTCTCTTGGCAACTATTTAATTGTGCGAGAATTGATCATTTGGCGTAACAGCTGATGGAAAGCGATTACAAGTACAAGTGACATACTTGTATATAGTATCCTCGCTCTCTATTAGCTGCCTATACGCAGATGTCGGTAGCAACTTCCAAAGCGGTAGGCCGTAAAAGGCGTCGCGTGAGGCCGTGAAGTGAATCCTGACCGCTTCCGCTAATCTCGTTGTAATTGTACTGGTGGAATTTGGTTTTAGGAAGCCTAAGTGACGTCCCAAGATCAACGTGCATGTACCTACGAAACGAGATAACACGTTATCAGTGACGGATTTAATAACCGTCGCGACCGTGATAAAAAGCGACAAGGTGAGCTTTATCTTCTCTCTCTCTCTCTCTCTCTCTCTCTCTCTCTCTCTCTGTATAAAAAGAAAAGTTTGAAAAAATACATTTCCTTTTAAGTTTAAAATTGCGCGTTATTTTAATCTTTAAGAACGTAGAGTTTTGAAATTAATAAAATCATTCGGAGAGAGAGAGAGAGATATGTCTGTCAGAACTGAATCGCTGACGATTCCCATATATATAAGAAAGCTGTTGTCGACGACTTACTCTCGAGTCCCATTCTGTAAGCGAGTTCCTCGAAGCCTTTCACGGTAAATTCCGCTCTTCGTTTGCGGATTAGGTCGATGAATCCGTCGGTGACTATGTTGAGTGCCGGGAAGAAACCGAATACGGTACCGGCCCCAGTGAGTTCCGGCGTTAAGGCGGCGCGAAGCTTTTGCCAGGTTGCTCCTTGCCTATTAAGAATATCACTGATCATTCGCAATTGTTCTCACGTCTCTAAAACGTCCTAAGCAATTCAAGGAACTAATCTATCATGGATCGTTATTGATTCTCTCGCGAATAAATTATTTTTTTTATTTTTTTTTATTTTTATATATAATATATTACATAAAATATATATGTAATATATTTATAAATAAATTTTGTATTTCCTTTTCATTATATTTTATCTGCTGTATTATTTATTTCCTAGAAATGGAAAAGTTTTAAGTAAATAATTCAAATAAATAATCCAAATAAATAATTAATGTGAATAGAATAATTCGCGATTTTTAAAAGTGTCACCTTAAACTTGACCTCGATACCGCGACGGGCGTAATCGCCGAGCGCGCCGAGAGCGGCAGGCTACTCACTCGTTGACCAGACCAAGGTTGGTGTAACGATCGCGCCGGGAGCGCCGGTAGTGGGATATGACCTCCTGCGGAGGACGAAGCGGGTATCGCGAACCCCGTTTCAGGATAGCCTCGATGTCGCGACGGGCAAACACGGACACCACGAGGCAGTTCCACAGCGCCTCCTCCTTGCACAACGACCCGTATCGCCGATTCAGATCTACTCTTGAATTACGGGATAACGAGCCATATTAAAATACCATATATCGACGGGAAGGAGAGAGCGTGTCGTAAACGGAGTAATTTATTCTGAATTTTAAACGGGAGGAGATTCCATATTCTGTTTTATTAATCACTACATTTCGATATTTTGGATTCAATCAAGATTGGAAAAAGACGAGCAATTATAACTCTTTCGGTTTCATATACATATATATTTTTTTTTATATATATATAAAACGACGTATCGATACATTTTGATTAGTTAAATATAAAGTCGATGGAAAAAATATGTTATTCATTCGAGAATCGCGATTATCAGCGTTGCGATCAGCGTTGCGCAATCTGGTAATATATGATTTATTCGTCAATCAAATTCGATGTATCTCCGGCATAAATAATTTTCGACGAATCTAATTAGTGTAACATGACATAAGGAATTTTCGACGTGACGTAAACATAAGTTCTTCTTGTCACGATTTGTTCCTCGTTTTCCTCTTTCGCCCGCGATTGCAGCAAACTCACCGCGATAAGATTGGAGTATCATTGACCCTGACCCTCTGAAAAAGACACGTTTCACCGCCATCCCGTTTTATAATAGCGGGGCCTTTTGAAGGGGACCCGCATATAATACGATCCATCGAAATTGTTAATCGGTTATTATCCGAAGAATCAAGTGGGGACGCATTAGCACATAATGAACCTCCGCTCTCCTTCTTTTTTTTTTCTCTCCCTCCCCATCTCGTTTCTCACATGCAACCTTGAGATACCATTAACACCAAAATTATGGACACGCAAAGGAAATGTCTAATGTTGCCTTCGTCAAAGAGGGCAAAGGCCAAACTCCTTACCTTTATACGCTTCGTGGATCTTGTTCAAGCTGTAGTAACCGAAGCGGGAATATATCCACCTGGTGCCGAGAATTGGCAGGGCAAACGGACCCGGCACATCGCGCGCCGTCTTGAATTTCCTGCTGTTGTCGCCCGCGTCTGCGAAAAGAATATTGATTTTAAAGAAAAATCGATGAAGAATATTTTGGAGCAATTGGAGCTTCGCTCGCTGCTCCACTTTATTTAAGAAAAAAAATTTATATATGAAATAATCTCGTGTTTCTTTATCTGTCTCTTGAATTGCTCGCTTGAAGAAGCCTCCGTACAGTTACGAATGTAACTTATGATATTGCTCTATCATTGTACATATAATGTTATCAATTGGGAAAAGTGATTTCTTAACTCGAACCTAGTGTTCATGAATAACATTCAATAACGATAAAAATGATAGGGGAGGAAAAAAGTGATGTGCAGTGCCATTGACCGATAATCACGGTACTGATACCGAAGGTCTGGGAAAGAGATCGGAGGATTCTCAACTCACCAACGTTCGCGTTGTAGTTTCTGGTCCAGAACCACCAGGGTGGCCTGTAACCGGTGGCCAGCACCAGGATCGCGAGCAACGCTCCCGCGATAGTCTCGAACCACGCTCCGGACAGCAGCATCCTCCAGTCGAATCCCTGCATCGAAGGAGGATTAAAAGAATTGGGGCCTTTCTCTCTTTCTCTCTATCTCTATCTCCCGAGAGTCGGCCGCGTTCGCGCGACAACAATCTCGCGCGACGCGAACGCGCGAAGTATAATAGGTTCCCTGTTATCGTAATCACGCCTCGCGGGTACGAGGCTCGTTCTCGTCTCCACCGCCGCGAGATAGTACTACGACTGGCGCCGTATCTCAGGAGTGCGTAAACTCAACTTTCTCCCTAACAATAAGGCGTCTTTTGACTCATTATTTGAACACCGACGTTGGCGCCCGAACGGATATATCCTCGTGTCGCGTTTCCGATCGAGGACGCTCTAAATGAACTTTTCTCAAGAGCTTTTTATTAATTCGCGTATTAAAGTCATGGACAATGAAATATTCTTCGTAAAAAATAATATTTAATCTCTTTAATTTTAATTAACTCCACGGAAAAAAAAATTTTCGCTACCATAGCTAATCATGGTTTGCAAAAAAAAGTTCTAAACTACAGCAAAACGATTTGCTGTTGCACTTAATAAATAGGTATCACAGCTAAGATGTTTGCTGTTGCACCTAATAAATAGGTGTCACAGCTAAGATGTTCGCTGTCCATATATTACGACTGAAATCTAGTTACCACACGCAGTTTTTAGCTACGGCAGCTAATTTTTTTTTTCCGTGTCCCTATAAATACTAAGCTATTTTTTTCTCGAAGGCTTTTCAATATAATTCTCAGACACTTGTAACTTTCTATACTTTCGAGAGATATCCGATGGAATAAAGCAATTGTTCTCGCCTTATAAACGTAGACGCATTACGCACAAGGCGAGAGCTAGACCTCGCGTTATCCGACTCGTGAACTCGGTTGTAATTAGTGAGGACGCATTTTTCACGATCGCCGTGCTCCGATAAGGCATCATTTGTGCACTGAGATTTACCATTAAAACACGTGCGAAAGGAGCAATAAGCGCGCATTTTTTTCGTCGGCGATTCTCACCGGAGGAAGAAAAGAAAAAATGAGAGAAAGAGAGGGAGAGAGAGAGAGAGAACGCGATGCAGTGGCTCCGCTTATGGATCTCCTCGTGACTGACTGAGTGCCCCAGTGTTATTTGCGGACCGCGTGATTCCTTTATTTGCAATTCGCCGATAACGCTCCTGGTGTTGCCCCGATGATCCCGCGACTCTCTCTTTCTCGGCCCTCTCTCTCACACGCGTGTGCATTCGCTCTGACATGATCTCGGACCTCTCTGTTGCACGGATCGGGAAGAAAATAGCGTAAACGATATCGACGATAATATACGACGTGTGAATTGCGGGTACTGTATCGAACGAAAGGTGAAGGATTCATGTAAATACTCGATACTGATTCAGCGCTAATGCATCAACGAGCAAAGTCAATGCATACATTAGCGCGAAAAACAATGTCAAGCGTCATGTTCCGCTGACTTGGAAGCAGGGGGGAAATCATCTTGCAAGATTCCTCGAAGCGAACTTGAATCCTTCGAAAGATTTGAATCTTTCGAAAAGAAAAGTTTCCTTAGGCAAAATTCAACCAAAAACCACGCGCTCCTTGATTTTTCACGTTAAATATTTTCGTATTTGTATCGATATACCTTTTATCTTAATCTCTCGTTATATTTTTACACTCTTTTCACTTGAGCAAACCCGAAATGTGATAAAAATAATTGTTATTTTCAGAAACAACAGAGTTCGGATAAGATATGTCTTTCGCGAGATTTTTTTTTCGATTGAAAATAAAAATTGGCAATTTTTTCGTCGAGAAAGAAAATACTCGAAAGAGGCAAACGAGCGGATGTTTCGCATTCTGCGGGTGTTTCTTGTAGCGGTTTCCGTGGACGCGTTCTGAGTTTACTTGACCGACTACATTGTTCGCTCTCGTTAATGACTTTAATTAAGCGCACCGCTACGTAAGTACCACCGTCTCTCTCTCACCGTATCCCGCGCTCACCTGCCGGGAATTTTCAGGGACGATATATCTACCGAGGAACGTAGTGTGCACGCGATCGTCGCGTTGCGGCAAAGCCGCATTCTTTTCCAATAACGTGACTCCAATCTCCCTTTCTTTCTCTTTCTCTTCTTTGTTAAAAACAAAAATCTTTATTCACATTCGCTTATTTTGATTTTTGTACGGAGATGAACGTATCTCGCAAAAAATAGACGCGAAGAAAAATGGGCATTCTTTAAATATTCATTAACAGACGAAATGACATTCCTGTCTCTTTTCCTCTCTTAATTCACCTATTTTTGCCAAGTTTCGCGTTCCAGCCTTCGAACCTGTTCTATGAATAGGCTATTCTTAGCTCGACCGATTAGCGTCAATGATTTTCCGATCGGAGCTTTGATCGAATCTCTAATAAAGGTCTAATAAAGAAACGCGGAGCTCTAAACGTGTCGCTTTACATACGTATCTCGCGAAACCAGTCCCACGCTAAAAGAAAGAAGATAAAGTGCTCCGTGTGGCTATCGAAAGCTCTTTTCTCTCTCTTTTCCTTTCTATATCCCTCCTACGTAATTTCTATTTTTTCACATTGCGGCGAAATCCATACATTTCGTTAAAAAAAAAAAAGGAAGAAATATCCCAAATATATTTATTGAAATAACGAAGAAATAAAATTTCGATCATCTGTGCAAAAATATGAGACTATCCTTAACTAAATGAATAAAATAAATATATAATATATAATTTATAAATATATAAATATAAAATTTATAATAATAAAGAAAAAATTATGCACCTGTGTAATTTTAAATCTTTTTATGTCGTTAAAAAATTCTAATTACGTAATAATGATATAAAATTAATATATAGTTATAAACATGCACAAGATCGGACATAACGTAATTCTCGTCCTGTTAGATTGGGCAAATTTCCCACCCAAGCTACGCTGCGTCGCGGCGTAGATGATAATGAACGCGGGTAATTGTGCGCGAAGACTTTGGAATGTCGCGGAGTGTCGCCGACCAGTAAATAAAGGATTATTAAAGCTACGGGGAGCAATTGAGAAAGCGCGACAGAGTGAAAGAAGACGCGGGGAACGAGAAAAATAATCGGGCCCGATTACCCCGTGACGACGCGGTCGCTGGATTGTTATCTCTCTTTGTTTTTCTTCTTCTTCTTCTTTTCTTCTTCTCCCTGCGCAAACTTGCCTTTCAAACGCGAGATCGCATATATTGTACACTACCGTGCATATATACGCTCGTAAATTTATAATCATATGCAAATATATATCGCCACTCTGAGAAAAATCTCGAAGTGTGTCAGAGTTAATACGATATAGAAAAATATAATCGTACAACGCACGATGTAATTTACTAGCCGAGATTTCTGGAACGCGAACGGGTCAGTCGCGAATAATGGCACGACTTGTCGGACAATCTTAAATCTCGAGGGAAGTTTTATCAATCAGTCTGTGCCGTACAAATCGCGTATTGTATGCGTGTAATGCGCGCAGCTTTTATATATGACGCGAGATCTCGTTGCGTTTTATCGTCTGCAGCTCTCCTTCTAACACGATTTCCGTTACGCCTGTCAATTAAACGAACGAGAGATGAATAATGTAACGCACGTTCCTCGTTAGAGATACAGTTATGATTATTATCTAGTTTCGCGAGCGCCACCCAATCATAAACTTTATTGTCAGACGTTACTCGGCACTTTTTACTCGCGCGCACAGACGGAATTACGTCTCGAGCTTGGACCAACAAATAAATTATGTTCTCGTCTTACCGTTTAACACATTGCATTTATGTAAAGTGCGTATAATTATCTCCATTTCATTACATCTGCATTCTTTATGTAACAATCTAGTTTAAAAGGCACGATGGCGATTATCTACGAAAATGTTGTCTTATTTTGAAAAAAAAAAAAAAAAAAAAAATTCTTTCGTGAAAAATTTCGTTACCTGCGTTATTCTTACACACTTGTGTAGCTACCGCATTTGCGCTTTATCGCTAATATCGCGACGCAACTCGGGGGAATGTTTACCGAAAGTGAAAACGACAAAAGAAAGGTCTTCGCGTTCACGGAAGGAACGTCAAAAGAAATGTAAATTCCAGACACTCGCGATTTGCATTATCTCATTAGTTGACCTATTTGTCGGACACGCGACTATTTGCTTTCGTTCGATAACTCATCACGATAAGTGATTTTCCGTACGTTATGTGTTCGCATCGCGATCCAGGAATAGCATAACAATAGCGATCGCGAAATTATAGAGTTCGCAAGGTTTCGATGAAAAGTCGTCCATATGCGTGTGTCGTTTCGTTCATTATTCGTATTTTTTTTTTTTTTTTTTTTTTTTTTTTTTTTTATTGATGCAGAGAAATGTATCATTTTTATTATTTTTTTTTAAATAATAAAAAATAATTATCGTTAATATCACCGTTTTCTGATTTTTCGTTTCGTTCAATATTTCGGTTGTGTCCCTCGAATTCCTTCACAACATTCTCCGTTTTTGCACAAAGAGACTCGTTGTATCGCTGCGACAAAGCTACTGCAAAATGATTCTCACGCTTTCGCGAAACTATTCCCATCAGCATTCAAAGCATGCGGAAAAAAAAATATATATATATATATAATACAAGCACAATGCCGAGAAACAGGAGTGATTACGCAAATTGCATCTCGCCGTTTCCGTATAACGTTCTTCATACGGCGTATGGTCTTCGCGAAATTGCGGTTCCCGTTTCTCGCAATTACGATGTTTACTTCCCCTCCCGGGCGGCCGCGCAAATTACCGCCGCGTGTCAACGGCACTTGAGATTTCGCAAATAAAATGATTAACCGCCGCCTCGATCCCGATGTGCAATTAAACGAAGGGTTCCCGGCGGAAAAAATAAAAACACTTTGCGAGCGCGCTGATGTATGTACAGGGTGTGTCGAGAGGTAAGGTTAATCGGCGGGAAGAAGAGCGACGCAGCACGCACTTGTGTTGTCGAGCAGAAATATGTAAATAGACTTGACAGAGAAATCAAGAGTTTTCTGTTATTATTTTTCTCTCGGGATTTTTTTTTTTCTCATATACGAGAGAAAAAGGTTCACAAAGATGCGCGCAACTCGGAAATTAAAGGGACAAGAACAATCTTCCGTGACAGATACGCGACAGAATAGATTGGGTGAGAATATGCAACGTGTTTTCTTGGCTATCGCGTCAAGATAGAGAGAGAGAGAGAGAGAGAGAGAGAGAGAGAGAGAGAGAAAGAGAGAGAATACATATTGCTTCAATAACAGAAAAATATTGTCAAGCGCGATTATTATTCCAAGGAATGTATTGTCTATCTATTGTTTATCATTATAATGCTTATTACAATGCTTATTACTTTGAATATTTTTGTATCTGTCCTAAACACGCAACAAAACAAGCGAGAAAAGTTTCCTCTGTGTACATTTTTTTGCGCGTCTTATATCGTCTCCTGTCATCTTTTGATGACCTTATCTTTTGACATATTCTGTATTTGAAAAAAAGTGAGAGAAAGAAGTTTCGAGATTAATATATTTCAAAGGCAACGTACATTTTTTAATCAATGTTTTAATTAATGTCAATAGTCTTTCATCATAAACTTGGTGAAGACGATTAATTTATCAGCGATTTCAATCGAGCGAATTTTTGCGATGCCTCGAATAAACGAAACCGGTTTAATCTCAATAAGTTCACAATTCTCGATGCTGCGAATGTAGAGAAAGAATGTACCTTATCCTCACGTCAGCTGTCAACTGTCAACCTCACTGTCGGCGCGTTTTCATTGTTACACAAATAGTAAACACAGAACGCGCTATACTTTTCGCGCGAGCGTGTTCTCAACCTCGAGAGAAATACGAATCCATCGAAATTATTAATAATTTCTCAAACCCTCTTATTTTTTTTCCTTCCAACACGGGGGGTTACAGGATTCTCAGGCCCCCGATGGCGACAAAGAGAAGAGCTCGCTGGGAAAAAGACTCGCGCGACGCACTGCGAATAACGTAACAACGCGAATACACACACACACACACACACACACACACAATACCCGCGAGCGTAATTTTTTTTTTTTTTTAAATTACCATGTCGTTTTACTTGGACGTGTTACTTCGGCGCCTCTCGCCCACACCGTCCATGTATCGATCAGCAAATCGCACGCATATCCCGCTCTGGCGTGTCTCGCGCGCGCCGCTATCTCTCGCCAAACGACGACTTATCCGCGCCGAATTCTTCTCACTCTCTGACTCTGGGTATACACTTGACTCCTGCTCGCTCGCACGATCGGCGAGTGATCGGCGCGCGCGAGGGCCCACTCTCGCGCCGCGGGAACCCGGAAATCCGAACGCCTCTCTCGCGTGCCACAGGTGGGTAGTGTGCGATGACGACGATCGGGTACCCCGGGATTGTAATAAGAACAAACGACCGCGAAGCGGACGCATACGGGCCGTATTCATCTTATAGGGTGTCCCGTAAAAAGCGGGATCGCGCCACGGCAGGAATGTGTTCTTCCTTCGCGATCGGTCGATCGATCGATCGATCGATCTCTTCGCGTCTCTCTTATTCTTCTCTTTTCTGCCAAAATTCTCTACGGAAAGCTAATTATCCGCAAAAAAACAACCGACTTCCGTCACGTTTAATATTTGTAATGTTGCTGATATTTTTGTTTATCGCTCTTTCTTTTTTTATCTTCTTTATAGATTATAAAATTATAATCTGCATCCAAGGGGACAAACAGTAAATAGCTACTACTACCAGGCTTATTTAATAAAATGTTGATATAATTAGACTATTCAATTTATATAAATTGAAACGATTTAAGTTTTAAAAGCTATAGATAATGAGAATTAATTTGATAGACATGCTTTTTTAAACATGTCGTAAATTTTTGTATATTATCTATATTTTTGTGCATGAATATTCCACTATATCGTAATCGTATAAAATTATATTTTAATTAATTGCAATTTAAATTTAAATTTTAAATATAAAATATTTATATAAATTTCAAATTTATATCTCTCAATGAGTAATAAATTTAATCTTAATCGCACAAAATACGATCTTCACATAAAGGAATAAATAAATCGAATGTCCATATTTGGTAAAACGTGGATTATAAATACGATGAATAATTATATATTTGCAGTAAAAAAGAAATCACTGATCTGATAAACATAAACACATGTGTAGGCATAACGAAAAGCTTTTAGAATTAAACGTCTTTTTAAATTTTTGTCGAATGTATAATAAAAAAAAATTAATTTTAATGGCATTTTTTTAAAAAAACGCAACCCTCGCATTTCGTCTTCCCCCGCAAATCTTGACGGGAAGTCGCAGAATGTTAAAATGTATCTCTCGGAAATAACTTACGGGCTTCAAGCGCGTTATCATAGCCGTCGCCGTCGTCAAAGTCGACTCAGCCGCCAACTCTCTGATAAAACGTATGATATCGCGCGGATTTCCGGCGGGTTTTCGACGGGCGGGAAATTCAGGAACCGAGAACGAGAAGCGACCGCGGAAACGTCCGCACGGACTGCCGTGGCGACGACGACGGTGAAACGTATATACCGACTCGTCGGACAGCCGCGACGACACTGATCCCAAAAAGTTCCTCGGAAACCCTTCCTCGGTGTTTTCCAAAAACTCCGAAAGCGTGACAGAGGCGGAGGAGGAAGAGGCCTGGAGCAGCGACGGAGGTGGTGGTAGTAAAGAAACGGAGGTGGAGGAAGAGCGAACGAAGGAGAAGGAGAGGAGAGACTGAAGAAGAAGAAAGAAAGAAGGCCTCGCCGAGGATCACGGACGGAGAGGGTTCCCGGTGGGACGCGGTTGGGAGGGAGAGGGGAACAAGCCCGCGACCCGGACATGGGATGAGTGAGAAGAGCATTGCGAGACGAAGGAGGTAGAGTAAGAAGAGAAAGAAATTAAGGGAGACAGACGGAGGGAGGAGGGAAAGGGAAAGAGAGCGTGTTTGTCCAGCGAATGAAACTTTAATCACGATTAATTGCCGCATTGTTTGGCAGATCGATCGGATTTATGAATGGTGGTATTTCTCAAGAGGGACCGAGAAACTATCATGAGAAAGAGGGAGACGGGGCCGCCATGCCCCTCTCTTCTGCTCCCTTTTCTCTCTCTTTCTCTCTCTCTTTCTCTTTTCAGAGAAGTCGCGAGACACTGGTTGAGACCCCGCCGATCCGTCTCCGCCGTCGGAGACGAAAACTCTTTTATCTCCTCGTCCACTCTCTGTTTACATGCCCCATCATGCCCTGCCCGTTGGTCCCGCAACAGCATCGCGAGCTTGGTTGGCCGTCGCCGATGGTGGGGCCCGTGGGATCAGTGGGAACCCACGGTGGGGGTTCCGGATGACGGACGGTCCGGAACGGATGGCAGATGGCGTTGAACGTCGAGGAAGATACTCTCGATCGAGGAGATGATTCTCAGCATCCGCAGCTACGGGATGCCGTAACCATATCCTTTGCCTCTACGTGCTCTCCGCTTTCCCCCTTTTTTTTTCTCAGACAAAAATAGCCATCGGGTCATCACGAGTGCTTTAAACTTCCGTCATTTCTTCCGTCTTCCTTCGAAAGGCGAATAAAAGCATCCTTCAGGATTCGAATTTTCTTATCTTTGTATCTTTTTTCTTCCCGCCTTCTCCTATTGTACAGAAAGGATTTCAAAAGTTCGTCTTCCAATATGTTTTTCTGCCCCGAGATTAATGGGTTAATTAATGAGGCGAGGAAATAGCACGGTCGCGTAAAAATCCTGGACGGATCGAGAAGTTATCGCGCTAACGCAATGTATTGATGACCTCTAAATGTAATCAATTATACGAGAATAAACCGATTAGATAAATCGCTCGTAAGATTCATGAATATGGAAAGATAATGTAATAGGAAACAAGCGAGGCAGAAACAGGTCTAGGTCCACCAAGGTCCTAAACATGTTTTTTTTTTTTTTTTTTAAATCTCGGCTGTGATATTCTTCAGCATGGATTATTTAACGCAGCAATGAGCCTTGTGCACATACTGTATTTTCTTTATTCACGAAATATTCAGAAATTTTTACATAGCTATCTTTGTCCAAAAATAAACTAGCGTTCTAGAAAAATTTATCAAAATATGTGTGTTTATCAGATTCCAGTTTTTCAATTTTCTTCATAAATTTCATATTTTTGCGCACCTGTCCCATTTCATTTGAATAATTTGAAATTGACGCAGATTATCGTCTTTTTGCGAAAGATATTTACAAATCTATGGGTAATCCTCGAATGGTTTTTTTTTTTTTAGCTATCTTTGTCCAAAAATAAACTAGCGTTCTAGAAAAATTTATCAAAATATGTGTGTTTATCAGATTCCAGTTTTTCAATTTTCTTCATAAATTTCATATTTTTGCGCATCGAGCCTGTCCCATTTCATTTGAATAATTTGAAATTGACGCAGATTATCGTCTTTTTGCGAAAGATATTTACAAATCTATGGGTAATCCTCGAATGGTTTTTTTTTTTTTTTTTTACTATAGAGCGGATATTAACTGCCCGGCGAGAAGATTGCGAGAAACAGTTGTATCATGTTTAAAGTAACGAGAAAGCCCTGTACACCGTGTTACTCCAGTGAGAAACTACGGTCGCGCGAGACGGCATCTAATTTGCGCGTCCAAATCGATCTCGTCGTCTCACGGTAAATTTGCGCGACCATGCGTAACGACCGTCAACCGGATCGGGTTGAGTCGTCTCCGCGAAGGGCGTAAACAACTCGGCGAGAGAAGCAAGCAAGATGAAGAAGAGAAGTCGAGAAAGACTTAGGAATAGACACAAGAAAATGAAATAAACTCGTCATTTACGTCAGACCGTCAGACAGAAAATAAAAATGCACCAGCGAAATGACGCGCGATCTCAAAAACGTTTTAAACGAACAAACAAAAATCCTGACAATGACTGATAAAAATTAGAAAAATAGATGAATCCACAATATATATAATTTTAAAAGAGAAGAAGATTGTGTCTGTGTTAATGGCAGGTTTTCGTAGTATAGGGTCTCGCATCTTTCGAGGAGCCTTAGAATGAATTTTATAATCAGCAAATTAGTATTCATAATGTAATTAACTCCGAACGGGATAAAAATAGAAGCCTCTCTCACATATATGTACGTTAAAACCGGTAATTTTCGGCCGATTCCCTTTCGCTTCTGTGGAGACCGAGATGTTCTCGTTGGGAAAAGTCAATCATTTCTATTTTTCACGAAATAATCATAGAACGAAGCAACTAAAAAGACGGCAGCCTAAAAGGGGGCCTTTTGAGTTTGAGGGTTAAAATATTTGTCCATCGGTCCGTAAAGGTGTAAGACAACCGGAGTGGAACGGACGACCGCCTAGAACGGGCTAGACCGGGTCAGGGGGAAATGATGTAGCTCTATCGTGCGTATAGGGGGCGTGAACACATGGAATGAGACGTCTATCGGAACTCGTTTCGATTCCAACACGAAATAAAACGAAAATGGTCTCGCAGGCGTCGATACGGCATAGGCCGGGAGATACGATATGGTATACGAAAAACTGTATGTGAGACACACGAAACGCCATAGAATCGCTGGATACGAAGATCTAGCATTTCAAATCTCTCGATTGCTTCAATTACTCTTCTTCCGAATTTGTGTGGAGAACGCTTAATTCACTGAACTATTCCGTCCATAATTATATTACGTCTTAGATAGAGAACGTATAGAAATAGACACAAGAAAATGAAATAAACTCGTCATTTACGTCAGACCGTCAGACAGAAAATAAAAATGCACCAGCGAAATGACGCGCGATCTCAAAAACGTTTTAAACGAACAAACAAAAATCCTGACAATGACTGATAAAAATTAGAAAAATAGATGAATCCACAATATATATAATTTTAAAAGAGAAGAAGATTGTGTCTGTGTTAATGGCAGGTTTTCGTAGTATAGGGTCTCGCATCTTTCGAGGAGCCTTAGAATGAATTTTATAATCAGCAAATTAGTATTCATAATGTAATTAACTCCGAACGGGATAAAAATAGAAGCCTCTCTCACATATATGTACGTTAAAACCGGTAATTTTCGGCCGATTCCCTTTCGCTTCTGTGGAGACCGAGATGTTCTCGTTGGGAAAAGTCAATCATTTCTATTTTTCACGAAATAATCATAGAACGAAGCAACTAAAAAGACGGCAGCCTAAAAGGGGGCCTTTTGAGTTTGAGGGTTAAAATATTTGTCCATCGGTCCGTAAAGGTGTAAGACAACCGGAGTGGAACGGACGACCGCCTAGAACGGGCTAGACCGGGTCAGGGGGAAATGATGTAGCTCTATCGTGCGTATAGGGGGCGTGAACACATGGAATGAGACGTCTATCGGAACTCGTTTCGATTCCAACACGAAATAAAACGAAAATGGTCTCGCAGGCGTCGATACGGCATAGGCCGGGAGATACGATATGGTATACGAAAAACTGTATGTGAGACACACGAAACGCCATAGAATCGCTGGATACGAAGATCTAGCATTTCAAATCTCTCGATTGCTTCTCACATATCTTCCCAAAAAGATATTTTCAAAAATAAATTGGATTGACTTTTTATCAATTACTCTTCTTCCGAATTTGTGTGGAGAACGCTTGATTCACTGAACTATTCCGTCCATAATTATATTACGTCTTAGATAGAGAACGTATAGATAATTTATCAGTGAATGCATTTCGAATTGAGTGATTATATATGTATAAAATTTTTATCGCATGGTTATTTTCATTTTTTACGAACGTCTGAGTCAATGAGATGAGATTTTTACGATATGTTTGACACTCAAGGTGGACGTCCAGCTTTAAATATTAATGATAGGCAAGCTCGATTGGGTTAATCTCCGAGTATGGAACGGGTCGGTCGTGTTTCTCCGATTGCGTATGTCTGACCGGAGCTAAGTTTCCATAAGTAGGCTCAAAAATGCGCTGCAGAACATAAAATCTCTCGTGATATTAATAAGTGATATAATCGATCTCTACGATCTAGCGCGACCTCCTTTTTAAATGGCAATTCGACCCAACCGACTGAGGAAGTTTTGCAATTGATTTAATTAACTACACACACTTGCCCCGTTGTTGTCTCTTTTTAAATCATCTACTATATGTAACTTTGTAAATATTTCCTCGAAACCGACGATATGCGAATTCGGCCCCAAAGAGTGTGGTTTGGATTAAAACGTGCAAATTCTTTCTCAACATAGATGCTAATTTATAAGTCATACCATTACTTTGCGCAATTAAGGAGACTACTGAAAGAAGGGCGCATCTCGTACCCACAATGGTGGAATGTCATAAAAATTATAAGCTAAACATTATAATATAAAATTTAAAGAGGAATAAAATTATTTTCTTGCAAATAAATGTTAAAATGTTTATGAAAAGTACTTCCATTTTGTAAGCATATTTAAAGGAATTCTCTCAAGGATTACCGTTTCACTTAATCGTCCCGTTATTGGCGGAAAAAAAGAACACCCGGTAGGTCCAGCACACCCTGTATACGCGCAAACATCTGTTCCTACGGCGCGAAATAATCGCACGCATAAATAAACCACGACACCGAGCCGGCGTGCGTGTCTCACGTGAAGCGAGAACGTGACTTCGCAGTTAACGATTCCGGAGTTCCCGAAACAGTCGCGGTGAAGCAAAGATTTCTCCTGCGAGAAGCCAAACAATATTCGCATTTGGACATCCTGCAGGATATCCGCTATTCTGTCAATGACAGGAGTTTGTCAGTATTTTAAATCATCGAAAAATATCGTTTATATTTCGGAAAAAAATATACACGAAATTTTTCCTAAAGATATATTGATTAAATATTTTTTTTTGTCATATTTTATTGCGTGATGTTTGTGTCTGAAAAGACCGCCCGAGTCGAAATTTTGCTTCTATATTTTCAATCTTTATTTATTAGTTCTTAATCTTTACATTTTATAGATTCTAGAGGAATTCGATAGATTTAATTTATATAGGAATTGAGTTCCTATATATTTTGTATTAAACAAACAGTTTCTCACATAGAGATTTAAAAATAGAGCTTTTGGTAAAATTATAGATTAGATTGTTTGAAAAAAGAGTGATTTAACTATGCTTAAGATATCCACATAAATATTACTTATTGATTGATTGAAGATTGAGATCGAAAATAAGAGAAAAATATCGATTCGAATATTGCCAAGAAATTGATTCTCGAAATTAACTCTTAACTGATGTCCAATTATTAATTCATGTCGAATTAATTTTATACAGTAAAATCAAATCTATTTTTTTATAATTTTTTTATAACAAGAAAATGAGATCGGTTTTTTTCATCAAATATAGAACTGATTATACTAAAGACTGGACTAAAAAAATTCGTTAATTTTTCAAAGATGATCTAGCAACACACTAAATCTAAAAATTTGGCCTTCGCTCAATCTTTTAATCTATCGCAACGAATCACGTTTGATTTCTCATACCAGATTGCTTAGAATTTTAATGAACTACGTCAACCGACATATCTATTTTTAATTTATCCCGGAAGAAAGAGAAGAGAAATACGATTATTCTATTGAATATCTTACGTAAAAAGAGAAACATAATCCCATAATATCCACAGAATATATTTTTATACATTTTCTACTTTAAGAAGATTCCGCAAGAATCAAGATTCCGAAAGTGACAAATGTGATTGGCCATTTCGCAAAGCTATGTTCAATTTAATGAAGACGTTGCCTCTTCGGCATGAATAAAAAATGAGAATGTAAAACGATGAAGAATAAATGAATAAAAAATTAAGTCTAAAAATATAGCGAAGGATGAAGGATGAATAAATAAAAAATTAAATATAAACTGAAATTAAGTATAAACTAAAAAGAAAAAATTCAAAATAGAAGATAAGATCTAGTTTTAAGACCCATATTTAAAGAGATGTATATTTTTTTGTCCGCCTCATTCATTATACTCGAATAAACTGTTGATAATTTGTGAGATGCGATCTTAATGTTTCGTCGAATGTACGCGGGGTCAACAGTTTCTTAAGCGGCCATTCTCGGTATGTACGAAATTGCCGCGTGTGATATCACCATAAATCATTCGATTTTTGTAGAAAAAGAAATGAAGTCTCAACTCCCATTCACCGAGCGAAATAAATCTATACGTATAATTCGTGAGTACGAGAACGGCGGGAATAGACATCAGGAGTTCACGCGTATACGCACGTGTGTGCGATCGCGCCGAAGAAATCTGGTCGACCAACCAGGAAGAGATCACGGACAACTGGTCACTCGCCGGAATTCTGTCGGAGGTGATTATGCGGCGCGATGGATCGTTAAAAAAAAAATGGACAGGAATCCTTTTCCTTTCCATCTCTCCTCGCGAATCATTTCATACGTGGCGTTATTAAACTTGTGTGAAATTCGTCCGAGATTCCTTCCAAAATCTGCAAAATTGTATTCTTACTCGCTTGATTATAATAACACAAAGATACAATGTGCAACAAATATTTTATGATTATATTATATTATACGGAAAATCTTCCAAAACTGTTAAATATTGATTTTTTTTATTTAAAATCGTTAAAAAAAATATTTTACTTAGAATCGTTGTAGATGCTATTGAGAATGAAGGGTAGAATCTCCGCGAAAATATCGATGTTTGGATCCAGGCATCGACCGAGACCCTCGATTACCAGCATGCTGAGAATCACGCCGCTAAAGGATCCGTCCTGCTTGACTCGATGACGGACCATTGCGGAGAATAATTCCGACACAACGGTACTCACGTTTACCTGCGAGGATATTTGAAACGGCCGTGCTGTGTATAGCAATTATTACTTTAAACACACGCAATATCGCGAATTCGATTTTTCCCGAATGGTAATTAAGCGGATCAAACGTCCATCATCTTCCGACGAGATTTTTCTCTTTCCGATAGAAACGCTATCTTTAGAATTTCAATGGTCGTAATTATCCATTATCGGTGTTATGATGATACCGGTATCAAAAACTGGTTAGTCTACTCTCACGCGTGTTAATACGCGATACGCCTCGTAATTGCATAGCGCGACTACGCGCCGTCGTCTTCTTTTCTTTCTCCACGTGGTATGTTTCTCGGAGGTCGATCGGTTCTGATTGAATCCGCATGAGATCGCGTACCGATGCTCCCGCTATATAATCACGATCGCATTATTTTGCCTCGTCGTTACGATGATTCGTCGTGAAACCGAAACGGCACCGGTTCTTTCTACAATGTTTGCAAGCGTAATCGTCTATGTAAAAAAAAAAAGAAAAAAAATTAACGAAAACAGAAGATCGATTCCGAGAAGCAATGGAAATTGATGCAAAAGAGAGTTAATAATAATTATATTTTAATAAATATAATAATAATTTAGGAAAATTAATAACTATTTCGGATAATTAACGATCGAATCATAAATTAAAATTGTGAAACGATATGTCATTTTTCTGTGATTCTCGAATTTCTTTCAAACCGAGTCGAAATTTATCTCCCATTTTCTTCCCATTTCTCAACTCAATTTTCAATCTAACATTTACTTTAAACAGTTAAATCGCTTTCTTTTTAAATTATTTAATCTATAATTTTGCCGAAAGCTCTTCTTTTGAATCTCTAAGCAAGAAACTATTCATTTACTGTATGTGTATGTGTGTGTGCTTATTTGAAGTACAAAATAGAAAGCTCTATATAAATTAAACTTATCAAAATCCTCTAGAATTCATAAACCTGAGAATGAAAATAGGAGTAAGATTTAAATTCGGGAAACACGAAAGAAGGGTTACTAACGTTAAATGGATTTCGAAGATGAAATTTCACAATGTTCCTCATCGAGCGTCTGAAACCATCTGGATCGGGGGTCATGTACGAACTGTGCTCCAGGATATACTGCGCTGCCATTTCGCCCTACGCATTTTATGAAAACTTAGTGAAACTTTAATTGTTCGATCGAGAAGAATATGCGCGGCGGAAAGCAATAGTACGATATGCAATGTTTTGTACAAAATAAATTGTAAAAAGATAGGAAATCGATACAGAGCCACGTTTGTCAAAAGATAAAAATTAAGATATTACAAAAATATAGATATATTGTAAAGAGAGAGAGGAAAAGTGCAGGTAAAAAAATACAAAGAAAAGTAATGATAAAAAAATATTTCCATCTCAGCTTACGTTTCCCATTAAAACCGACTAACGAGGAACCTCAAGAGGGTAAGAAGTGCATGTTAATAAAAAGTGAAGGCTTTATCTTTCGGACTTACGTTCCCCATTAGCACCGAGTAAAAAACATCTCGGAGATTTTGTCGGCAGCGATCATTCAGCGATACCACTAGGCCACAGTCCAGTATGATCAAGCGTGGGCCGTCCACCACGTAATCGGGGTTAATGACCCGTCGAAAGGTGTTAAACAGGCCCGCCTTCGGCACGACCGCTTTTTCGACTAGAATATTCCCCGGGTGCAGGTCACAGTGGATAAAGTTGTCGTTAAATATCTACAATCAAATAGGATGTTTTCTCTCTCGTATTGCATTCTCAATTGGCAAAAAAAATTTAACAATGCGCTACCAATTTTCTCTCCAACTCTCGAAAAAATTTTCGTATAGAATTTATATTAAATCTTAAAATCTATATCGTGATCTAAAAATCGATGCTTGATTCTATTAGATTCGAGATGATAAAACTTAAAATGTTTCAGAGAAGGAGAGTCAACTTGTAGTAATGATAAAATTGTTCACACTATCGAGTTATGTATATTAACCATTTTAAAGATCGTCGCGATTCCTATTCTGGCGAGTTTCCTCTGCAAAGCAGCGTCGTCATGTTCGAGGTAATTGGATATCGGTGTGCCCTCGTGGAAACTCTCCACGAGTATCCTACGACGGGTCAAGTGCATGTAAGGATACGGAAACACGATATCGTTCCGTGTCGAGAAATTCGCTGAAAATCTCGCGAGATTGGCAGCCTCCAGTCGCATGTCGACCTTCGCAAACACAATTGATACAATTTAATCAAACATAAGCGCGCTACATTCTCGCTTATTTTTAACTTCGATTATTCTCTTCGGAGGTATAATCCGGAATAATTTCAACGAGCTAGCAGTTTGAATTTCTTCTTACACGATTTCACGAATAAAAACGATTATCTCTCATCGATCGCATCTCACGAACTCGTCGGAATTACACCGGCTCTCAATCCTCGAAGAGAAATTCGAATCCCGAGACAGAGTTCGTTATAACGAGATATTCCTCAGATTACGCGAAAGATGTGCAAGATGAGTCGTGGGAAATATTCATGTTGCAAAGTTACTTGGTCTTCCATTATGCGCGCGAATTCGTCGATGCAATCCGTGAGACTGAGCCAATGCAGTTCCGGTACGAAGTACATGGCGCACTTGGAAAGGCCGCGCATTATCGCGATGTCTCTCCTGAAGCAAATAGGAAATATATACGGGATGTCTTGTAATAAATAATAACGAGTTACGGCAACGTTTTGCAAAAGATTCTTTGGTTCAATTTCATGTCAATTTGTTCTCGATAAAAAAAAATATCCAGATGCGCCAGGATTTATTAATCCGCCTGTTATAAACATGCTAAACGCATACTTAATAACGAAACGATGTAACCGTAATAGAAGTATAAACATTTATAGTCCTTCGTGCGGACTCTTCATCGACGGGGCGATTATACGTTTTTTTTTTTTTTGGAAAAGACTATTAAAAGTTATCTACATGATATCTCAAAGAGGGTACTTGAGTTGGCCTTTGATTCCGGGATGCAACACTTTTACTGCTACGGCTTGCAATTTCCTGGCACGTGTACTGGTAGATGCGAACTCATCGCTTTCGTCGAAAGCTTTATCTGAAATTATCGGTATGTCATTTATAGTTGACGAGTTGATCATCGGAATTTTTGTATCAAATAAAAGCATGAATATTAGAGATAACAAAAAAAGCAATGCCTTATTTCGATTGCACAGTTCAACAAAAAGAAATAATTTGTTTTAACACAAGAAAGAGAATAACAATTTCCTATAGTTTTTTATCCTAAATTTTAGAAAAGAAAATGAAATTTATTAATTGCGAAGAGCTATTCAAAATCTCTCTCTCTCTCTCTCTCTCTCTTTCTCCCTCCCTCTCTCTCTCTCTTTTTCTCTTTCTCTCTCTCTCTCTTTCTCTCTTCATTATTCTGTGAAGAATTTACCAAATACTTTAGAGTTGCTAGTATACTTTACAAGATTTTATATATTTCCTGTTTATATATATATATGGAATTATGTAAATCTATTCCTAAATGCGCGCGAATTCGTCGATGCAATCCGTGAGACTGAGCCAATGCAGTTCCGGTACGAAGTACATGGCGCACTTGGAAAGGCCGCGCATTATCGCGATGTCTCTCCTGAAGCAAATAGGAAATATATACGGGATGTCTTGTAATAAATAATAACGAGTTACGGCAACGTTTTGCAAAAGATTCTTTGGTTCAATTTCATGTCAATTTGTTCTCGATAAAAAAAAATATCCAGATGCGCCAGGATTTATTAATCCGCCTGTTATAAACATGCTAAACGCATACTTAATAACGAAACGATGTAACCGTAATAGAAGTATAAACATTTATAGTCCTTCGTGCGGACTCTTCATCGACGGGGCGATTATACGTTTTTTTTTTTTTTGGAAAAGACTATTAAAAGTTATCTACATGATATCTCAAAGAGGGTACTTGAGTTGGCCTTTGATTCCGGGATGCAACACTTTTACTGCTACGGCTTGCAATTTCCTGGCACGTGTACTGGTAGATGCGAACTCATCGCTTTCGTCGAAAGCTTTATCTGAAATTATCGGTATGTCATTTATAGTTGACGAGTTGATCATCGGAATTTTTGTATCAAATAAAAGCATGAATATTAGAGATAACAAAAAAAGCAATGCCTTATTTCGATTGCACAGTTCAACAAAAAGAAATAATTTGTTTTAACACAAGAAAGAGAATAACAATTTCCTATAGTTTTTTATCCTAAATTTTAGAAAAGAAAATGAAATTTATTAATTGCGAAGAGCTATTCAAAATCTCTCTCTCTCTCTCTCTCTCTCTCTCCCTCCCTCTCTCTCTCTCTCTTTTTCTCTTTCTCTCTCTCTCTCTCTCTCTTCATTATTCTGTGAAGAATTTAGCAAATACTTTAGAGTTACTAGTAGACTTTACAAGATTTTATATATTTCCTGTTTATATATATATATGGAATTATGTAAATCTATTCCTAAATAAGTCTGAACGTCGCAAAGCGAATGATAGTAAAGGCGTCCTTTCGCGAAGTGGCTCGCGCGATTTCTATCACATTACACGCACACAAGAAAAGAAAATACTCTCTCGCTTACTTTCCACGGAACGCGACATCCGAGACTTTCGTGCCACCGCATTCAAGTCGATCCACGCTTTGTACACCTGTAAATCGATTTTACCGATGCGTAACCAAAATTCTCGTAAAAACCAACACATTCGGGTATCCCGAATATTATCGTACAACTATATATCCGATTCATTGATAGCCGTTATCTTATAAAGTTTCATCCGCATACCTGTGCGCAGCATCCCGAGCCGATCAATCCCTCGTCATCAAACTTCGCAAACAAGTCCCGCCAGGAAGAGCCGTACGTGGCTTCGAGCAGGCGTTCCGTGTAAAGCCAAGAATGCGGCGTCGCGTCTCGCTGCAGTCTCGAGAGCGTGTCGCAGATATCCCGCGAGAAGATGTCTCTCCGCGTCGATATCCACTGGCCGAACTTGACGAAAATTGGTCCGAGAAATTCTATACCTAAAAAAAATATATGCATGTATATACAGCCTCTTACTTTCACATATTAAATGATATTCGCGAAGACGTGCGTTGCACGAGTAAGATTTTAATTAATCTCTCTTATTTCTGAGAAAAAAGCGTGGAGATTAAATTTAATTATAAATTTTGACAGATGTACTAACGTCATGTTCACAATTAGAAATAATTACAAATTATTTTTTCGTTTGTCTCAATCTTTTTGCAATAATGACTCATGTCAGCTGTGGACAATATTTTATAAACACGATCTCTCGCTTACCCGTTCGCAGAGCGGTGGGAAACAGATTCGCGTGCGTCAAACGCGTTATCAGATACGCGGCGATCAGGGTGGTGACGACCGAGCTTACGATCACGATTCTCGCCAATATTAAAACCGTCTCTCGCAGCTCCTCCAGGAAGACTCCGCTCTTCGGCTCCCCGTCGTCTCCTTCGTCGGCAGACCCGATCGTTTGCGGCTCGCGAATCTTAATGCGCGGATTGCGGGAGAGCGTGGTGGTCGCGGAGGCGAAGTTATGATCGTTGGCGTCGTCGAGATTGCCGTTACGGAGACGCGTTAACGCCGTACGGAAGCATCGCCGACGATACTCCCATTTTCCCCGCGCGACATCCGCGCGACATCGTCGCAACGACGCGAGGAATCTCGCGAAATTCGAACGCAGTGACATCGACGCGACTCGCAAACATCGTACGGACGAAGTCGTTACTCGGAGCACGACGGCTTCGCTTCTTCGCGGATGTTCGCGATCTTCTCCCCGAATCTGTCCGCGTCCATGTCGCAAGCTGGATAATATCCCGGAATAATTTTTAGTTCGATCGCGCGAGAGACATTTCGCGGGCGAAAGTGAAGTTTCCCGCGACGTGAAGTGCGCCACGTGAGTCACGTGATGCGTTTCGTCTCCTCCCACCTCTTTCTCAAGATTGCCGAAAAGCTCGTCTGTTTTACCGACCATAATAATTAATATTTGCTTAATATAAAAGTTTTGCAGTTTGTATGCGCAAAATAGAATAACTTCGTCTTCGGAATTGCATGAAAGAATATAAAATGTATTTAGAAGCAAAACATTTCGGTGTGCAAAATTTTGCACACCGAAATGTTTTTTACTAGGCTTCTAAATATCACACTACGCATTGAATTGAGATTGAAGATTCAAGATTGAAATTTGACCAATCAGGACAAAGAAATTTTAGTTCCTTTTGTTCTGATTAGTCAAATTCCAATCTTTAATTTTCAATGCGTAGTCTGATACGGGCTTTAAGTTGGTGACACTTATTGATATCTTGCGCAAAAATCGTATTTAGCGATACTCAAATCCTAATATTTATTTATTATAATATTATTATTATAATAAATAAATATATATATTTATTATAATATTATTATAATAAATAAATATATTTATTTATTATAATATTTATGGCAAATTTAAGATCGATCGCGATAGAAATTTAAATCGATAATCAATAATCAAAAATAAATATTAAATCAGTTTTATCAGTTTGTATAGAAAACTTTATCATTTTGTTCGATAAAACGACAATATAAGGGGATAATCAGACAAATTTGCATAGCACATAAACAATAGATAAGGAAATTAATTAGTCCATAAGCATATGCAAGTTTGTTTGGACATATGCCAAGAGAAAAACTAACCGTGAGATAGAACTAAATCATTTAACTGTGACCAAAGATTTCGAAGCATTTGTAAAATCAAGCGGAATGCATCCTTCTTAACTCAAGAAAAAAGAAAAAAAAAACAATCTTTAAAAATTAATTGAAATCACAGTGACAAATAAAAATTTTCTTTTTACTTGGAAAAAGCGACGAGAATATAATTTTTCTTAATAATGGCAATATTGCGAACCAACTCGAAACCCCCATTCGAGTTCTCGTACCGTGTGTTAAAAATAAACACACGGACAAGCGTGAGGGTGAGACGCGATATTTCCCACAATTAACATTATTTTCGTGATTGAGCTAGTGGAGATATATTAAAAGGAGCGCGGATTATAACGCGAGAGGGATGAGGCGGCGCTGAAAGGTACACGTATAATGTTCCTCTTGAAAAGAGGGCTCTTGACTGGTAAGCGCGACGGTTGAATCGCTCCGGGCAATTAAGGGGAACCTGGAATAATGCCCACTATAGCGAACTCGTCGCTCACCTACGAGATTCTCATGTACCTGAACTCCTTCTACTTCGGTATGTTCGCCGTGTGCGAATTGGGCATGGGACTGTTCAAGGCCGCGAACTTGCCCTCACCGGGCACGAGCAAGACCGTGACGGAGTTTGCGCTACTGCTCTTCCTGATGGCAACGGAGGGCGGCAGGATCTACCTGGGAAGGAAGGGAAATCTGACCGAGCGCGGAATACCGATTCTTATCGGGATAGTCCTGACTATTCCTAGCATATTAGCGACGCTCTACTTCCTCCTTTGGCAGTCTCGCGTGCTCAGGCTAGAGGTGATTCTCTGTAGCATACAGTTAGTTCTATTGATATCCGAAGTGGTCATCGCTGTTATGTGCCTTATAGCCATTTATCGACCACCGCCCCCGGAAAAATGATATAGCTTTTTCATGTTCTACGTCGCACAATAATTCTATTTTGCACTTGTCATTTCGCTTAACAATCCATTCCGAGTGTTAACAGTTTGTCACAGACAAGGCTGAGCTGTCTGTCGTTGCTATTGTCAGATAATAAGACTTTTCATCCTTAATAATTTTAATTGTTGTATCTCTACATCTAAGAAACAAATCTATGGTATCGTATAGTTTCCCTGAATCTGGTATAAATTTGCATTTTGCGTAATACATTACGCATGTATACACTGAAATGTAGTATCGGTGTTTCGCAAATATCTTTTATTAAATATTAAAAATAAAGACTGGCTACTATAGGAAAAGTGCTAAAAATCTACTTTTATATCTTCTGTGACATATTTGCTTGCATATAAAATGCAAAGATTTAAAATTTTACAAACAAATTATACATTTGAGTAGTGTGCCTTGTACATACACTAATCTACATTCCATAGACTGAGAATTAGAACATAAATGGAATCTAAATTTTGTACACTATAATAATCTTTTAAAAGGAATTCACACTACACTCAGTAGCCACTTTATTTCATTTAAAAGCGATTGTGTAAGAATAAAACTGAAAAGATTGTGTTTTATGCTAAAAACTTGGATTTCTACAATTAATATTAACAATATAAATACTGCCATTTATATATATTTAATGTTTAAACAGATAGAAATGTATTTATAAATTCTATGGAAAAAAAAAAGAAGTTTGTGTAATCTCAGTGCTATGTCTGCATTGAATATAATTGTTTGTAGTGGAAGAAAAGCTTGCTGTACACATATTTGTTTGTATATGTATTTATATCAAAATAAATATTTTTTAAATAAATAATACAATGACATAGCACTCATTAAATAATGCCAACGTTGTTCTTTCAGATCATACCTTCAAGTACTTGTCTCTTAAAATACATTACATACATATGCGACGTACAATAACTACGAATCGTATAATAAATATATTTCTCAAAGTCTGTATGATCAAAAGCTATCAAAACTATCACGGATATATTTACGGTACATAGTATACAGAGACTACAATCTCAAAGAGTTGATTATACAAACACAGGATAGAATTCTTAACTTAATGCCTGCAATGATAGACTGTACTTAATTATAATGACAGAATTCCATCCTAATCTACAGCAATTACAATGAACAATTAATAGAATTCTACTTCTATGACAATTACAATTGCAATTCTCTGTCTAAGTAATACAACTCTTAATGTTTTATACTGTTCGCCGCGGCTCTTCGTCTTCTGATTGCGCGTAATCGATTGTTGCAATAAATTCGTAAAAATACTGAGCCGAATACCAATAGTATACCAAATACTCCGATAACGGTAATCTCGTGATGATAAATCAAGCAAGACAATAGTATCGCCAAACCCTGCAACAGACATCGTTTATGTACGGTGTTGTATTGTTTCGATTATTTCTTTCTTTTTTTATGTACAGTAATATTCTATAATCATACCTGACGAATAGTCATCATAATTACGAATGTAATCGATCCAAATTTCGAAATGGTGTAAAAAATATACAATTGACCGGTTGCTGAACAAATTGATATCAGTAAGCAATCGATTACAAACCTAGGGTACTATATGATAACATCATTAGTATTATATTCTTAGGTAATATATAACAATTAAGAAAAAAAAAAAAACTAATATATAATGCAAAATTAGTTACCGTTGTCATGAAAGAAAATATTAGCGGAAAGCTCGATTGCTGAAACAAAGACATTGCAGTCAGCAGACAGGAGAACATATTAACTACGCACATCATTTGTACGCTTGTTACACCATAGTCTATAAAAAGTGCATTTTGCCAGGTACTCGTAAAACTATCTAATAATAAGTAGCCTCCCAATAATATAACACCAGAGAGTGTTGTAGCTCCGTCTGAAAGCGTTTATAAGTCTGTCATAATGTTTGACCACATTTATGAGAAATATACATTGTATTCTGAGTTAATACTCAGGTATTACCATTTTTATGATCAGAACTGTCCAACATAAAAAGTGCCATTCCGATGGAAATAAGGATCGCGGTAACATACTCGTAATATTCATATGTTGTATGCGAAATTATTTTTCCCATTATCATAACAGGAATAATTTTCGAGGCTTTGGCTAAAACCTAAAAAAAAAAAGATGTTACTCATGTAAATTATGTGAGGTTTTATAACGTACCGCTACGGAAGATAATATCAGTGATTGGAGAAAAAACATATATGTAAAATTATGATTGGAGAAAAAACATATATGTAAAATTATATCTAATTCTTCACCTGCGATGGAAAACTGACATACTTCAGAGCTTCATATTGACACCAACTGCTCATGATATTTGATAGAGAACAAAACGCGTATTTATACAATGGCGTCTTATGCTGCGGCTGACGTTGAATAAGTAAGTATAATCCTGACATTGCAAAGGCAAGAATACGATTTACAAATACCAAAAATTGTGAATCTTGAAACCGCGCTTTATTACCAGAAGCATCTTCATACTCCTGTACAAAAAAATTGATCGTTTAATTAGACAATTATAATATATACAAAAGCAAAATCAAGATATCAAGAAAATATCAATTACATTAATAATTTCAATGATAAAATAACAGTATTCACTTTAATAATATTTCCCAAATGATAAAATATTTATATTCCAAAGATACCTGTGTCATTATCTTTTCCTGCAAGTAGCCCCACGTTAGGTAGCTAATTTGCAGTCCAAAGAAACAATACATCAAGAGTAGGGCATCTTGAGTAAAAGTACGTTGGGCATGTGTGGAAGCATTGGGAATATACGGAGGTGAGTCCAAGAGACCTGTTTCACAATGTCCCACAAAGCATGAATGTACCAATCTAGGGATACAGCCTTTTCCTACACAAAAATATTTCTTAAACTATGATTGTCGCACATATATCTAAAAACTTATATTAATTTTTTACAATTGTACATACCACTTCTTTGAATATATTTAGTATAGCGTACATATTTGTATATAAGGCAACCTGGCAGCAATATAGTGGCGTATCCCAATAGATTTAAACATAATCGAACGATCCAACTGTACGTAGACGTCTTAAGAATATCTTCTCCATTATTTGTCAACGATTTGATGATCTCGCTGATTCCGAATATGATACTGACTGAAAGTAGTAGCATCAAGCTACCAAATACACTTTTTTAATTACATTGCAATAAACATGAATTATATAAATCCTTATATATTGATACAAAGTAGCGTAAAACACTTTGTGTTTATATCTCTTATATAAAGATATGAATTCGTATCTATCTTATGGTATATCAAACATACTATAATTTATTATAAAAAAAAAATATGTTGACAGATACAATTGTACACCAAATTATATCATCTAATTGCCTACACACTCTCTTGATGTGTGCGAACGAGAAAAACGGAATCTTAAGCTGACGCTTTAATAGTATTTGCATTTCTAACACAAAATCAAAATTAAAACGCACCAGATCACGATGTCACCCATAAAGTTTCCCATACTTTTAGCGAAATGAGAAACCTCGGCGATCTGCTTATCCGGTTATGCCATAACCTTCGTCATAGACGTTTCCTTACGTGGTCACACATGTATAACCGCACGAATGCGCTTACTGGAGGAAACTTCATCGACTGTGCATTGTGTTACACACCGTAAACATTTATCACATTAAAACTGTCATTATATTCTTATCTGCGTTCGGTTCTATCATGCTCCACGATTTTCTAATCTTCGCAACAACGAAATGTATAGATATAGATACATTGTAGAGCATGCATATATATATGTATATACATGCCCTTTATCATGTGCATCACACACATGTCCAGCACCCACGTAGAGAGACATCAGAGCTGGATAAAATTTTTTGGGATATAATTTTTTGACAGGAGACATTTAAATATCATTGTTATTTATTTTTTCGATGGAACCAGGTATGTGTCGCAAAGCGACACAATGTGTGTTTTCCAGCAAGGTACACAGATGACAGAGTGTAACACACAATACCACATGATTGGCTGTCAGATGAAGAAATTTAAAATTCTGTATTTGATAGCAATTTATTATAAAAAAAAAATATGAGAATATCTTCTCCATTATTTGTCAACGATTTGATGATCTCGCTGATTCCGAATATGATACTGACTGAAAGTAGTAGCATCAAGCTACCAAATACACTTTTTTAATTACATTGCAATAAACATGAATTATATAAATCCTTATATATTGATACAAAGTAGCGTAAAACACTTTGTGTTTATATCTCTTATATAAAGATATGAATTCGTATCTATCTTATGGTATATCAAACATACTATAATTTATTATAAAAAAAAAATATGAGAATATCTTCTCCATTATTTGTCAACGATTTGATGATCTCGCTGATTCCGAATATGATACTGACTGAAAGTAGTAGCATCAAGCTACCAAATACACTTTTTTAATTACATTGCAATAAACATGAATTATATAAATCCTTATATATTGATACAAAGTAGCGTAAAACACTTTGTGTTTATATCTCTTATATAAAGATATGAATTCGTATCTATCTTATGGTATATCAAACATACTATAATTTATTATAAAAAAAAAATATGAGAATATCTTCTCCATTATTTGTCAACGATTTGATGATCTCGCTGATTCCGAATATGATACTGACTGAAAGTAGTAGCATCAAGCTACCAAATACACTTTTTTAATTACATTGCAATAAACATGAATTATATAAATCCTTATATATTGATACAAAGTAGCGTAAAACACTTTGTGTTTATATCTCTTATATAAAGATATGAATTCGTATCTATCTTATGGTATATCAAACATACTATAATTTATTATAAAAAAAAAATATGAGAATATCTTCTCCATTATTTGTCAACGATTTGATGATCTCGCTGATTCCGAATATGATACTGACTGAAAGTAGTAGCATCAAGCTACCAAATACACTTTTTTAATTACATTGCAATAAACATGAATTATATAAATCCTTATATATTGATACAAAGTAGCGTAAAACACTTTGTGTTTATATCTCTTATATAAAGATATGAATTCGTATCTATCTTATGGTATATCAAACATACTATAATTTATTATAAAAAAAAAATATGAGAATATCTTCTCCATTATTTGTCAACGATTTGATGATCTCGCTGATTCCGAATATGATACTGACTGAAAGTAGTAGCATCAAGCTACCAAATACACTTTTTTAATTACATTGCAATAAACATGAATTATATAAATCCTTATATATTGATACAAAGTAGCGTAAAACACTTTGTGTTTATATCTCTTATATAAAGATATGAATTCGTATCTATCTTATGGTATATCAAACATACTATAATTTATTATAAAAAAAAAATATGAGAATATCTTCTCCATTATTTGTCAACGATTTGATGATCTCGCTGATTCCGAATATGATACTGACTGAAAGTAGTAGCATCAAGCTACCAAATACACTTTTTTAATTACATTGCAATAAACATGAATTATATAAATCCTTATATATTGATACAAAGTAGCGTAAAACACTTTGTGTTTATATCTCTTATATAAAGATATGAATTCGTATCTATCTTATGGTATATCAAACATACTATAATTTATTATAAAAAAAAAATATGAGAATATCTTCTCCATTATTTGTCAACGATTTGATGATCTCGCTGATTCCGAATATGATACTGACTGAAAGTAGTAGCATCAAGCTACCAAATACACTTTTTTAATTACATTGCAATAAACATGAATTATATAAATCCTTATATATTG